TAGAACCGGATGCTTCAAAGCTCTTAAGCTTTATGAAACCAAGAATCTATGTGTTTTTCTTCTCATGAGACGTATTTTTTTTTAGTATGTGTTTTCTCGCATTACTGTTCTTGAAGCAGAAGATAAAACAAAAACTGTTTATGGAAAATATATAGATTACATTCATACTTTACAAAGATTTAGGAAAATTTTCTTTTTGTAAAATCTTGCACCAATTATTATATCTAACCAAATCTAGAACATAAACTATTGGGCAAAGTCTTCATATAAACAACACAATTTTTCATTTTTAAAAATGTACAATATATTATTTATGTACTACAGCATCAGTTTTGACTTATCATAAGTCAGATTTTAGGAAATAGTCTATGCATTACTAAAGGAGATCAAAATGGCTTGTGTAAAAAAGAACTACACTTTATTAACATAAAACACTTTTAAATCAATGCATATAAATATGACAAAAATATCAATATTAAAACTAACATGACAGAACTGCCCAGCCTGTAAAACAGACATTAAGTAGTTAAATAATGAGTCATGCATGTGCATTTATATAAATGATCAAAAATACTCAAACTATTACTAAAAATTAAAAAGTGGAAGACCTACTAAGATGACTATCATAACTATCTATGAGAACTGTAAAGCATCTGCGCTGAAGCTGGCTAACATTTAATAATGCCGAAAATAATCTTCACTTGTGTTTTTAAAGTTGCTAGCTGCTCTCTATAAGAGTTTTTCCTGAAAAAGAGTGCTGTCTGAACAGTTATGATAACTCTGCAATAAAGAGATTTGATTTATTATCTAAATAAGACTTCTTCCTTTGAGGGTACTTCTCAATTCATTTACAGCCTTAAATATGAATGGCACATTTATTTTTTTAATTGCCAGCTGCCTTATTCTCCTCTGAAAATAAATTCTCAGTGTAAAGCAATGCAATGACTGGGCAAATTACAGGATACAGAACATTACAGATTCCCACACTTTTGTTGGCACTTTAACTTGAACTGATAATAGACCCAGTGTGAGTAATATCGCTTAACATCTCGAAAGCCAGGTCTCATAGCTTGTGCATAAAGACCAATACTCCTAGCCTTTCAGATATACTGACTCCTTTTTCCTGCTATTCTTTTTACAATCCTTTAATATACTTTTTATTATTAATTTCCATTTTCATTACAAAATTTACATAATGCTTACCAATGTGCTAATAATAATAATAATAATCTCTCTTTTTTTGAATACATGTGTTTCCAAATTTTATCTACTTCTATAAAGGAACTCTTCTCTTAAAGTCATTCTAAGTAAGACATTTATAACACGGACTATATACATAATTGAAGAAAAATAAATACAAGACAAAATTACGCTGTTCAGTGTTGTAAGCTGCCATTCAAACATTTGGTCTGAAATCATTTGACACACAACAGAAGTCACCTGATATCATCTTCAGTTTTTTAGAATTGATGGAGGCTCTACAATCTATACTCAGGATGAAAACACACGGTAGTCATTCTACAGAATTTCCCTTATATGGCACTCCCTTGTAATGTATCAGCAGTTTTTATTAGTTGGGTGCCTTAAAAATCACCATCCTGAAAAGAGGCTTTTTTCCCTTATGTTATTTACTTCCATGTTGCAATCTTCCTTTCTCCAAAAAGATGATATCAATCACTTCAAATCATACATTATTTTCTAAATATGGATGATCATGGACAACACAACATATATTGAGATAAGGAAAGAAAAAAAAAAAAAAAAGCAAAAAGAAAAAAAAAAGAGGTCACTACACATCACAAAGTACATATCAAATACTAGTAACTACAGCATTAGCATCTTTTACATATCTAAAACACCAAATACAGACACTAATACTAAGTTTTTAATAGAGAGAATCCATCTGACATTAATACTTAAAAGAGGTCCCTAGCCTTAGCTTAGGCATTATCTGAGTACGAATTCTGGAGATACACAGGAAAAAGCAATCAAGTGTTTTATGAAATGGAGTCTCTTTTACTTTATAAAAATTTAATTTATGGACGATATTCTTTGTTACTTGATCCTGTGTATCAGCTCATTCAAATCTTCCAAAAGCAGGCATTCAGGAAGCTAATGATCAGTACACTTTTATATAATACCACCGAAGCAATCCATGCCCTTGAAAAAGTGAATTTACAATGAGTTCTCTGTACATTTTTAAACGATGACCCAATGACATTTAAAAGAGAGAAAGAAAAGTAGACAGAATGAAAAGAAGTGAACTGCTGATACTGTGAATAGCATAGGCTGTGTTGTGCTAATTAATTAAAGATGTGAAAAACTGTGTCATAGCATTCAGGTACTTTTAAAAATCTTACAGAAAAGTGCTTATTTGTCACACAAAAAGCTTGAAGAGGCAGACAATAGTACATCTACACACATAATTGATATTCATCAAGGAGATTCCATGATTCTGAGTATTTTCATGTAATGCTGTGACTGTCAACCATTCTTTCCCTACAAGAAATTTTAGTCAGTCGCAGACTTCTTGGTGAAGGCAGTAAGGGATGACATTTCTGACGGTTCTGTGGCCAGGCGACTGAATTCGATCTCCTCCCCAGTGCTGCTCTGCGTATCTGCATGGGAGAGGTAACAAGTTAGCGTCTGTATGGAATGCTTCTGCCCTTTATAAATGGAGTAATACTTTGTCACACATTTCAAGGGTCAGAAAACCAATATCATTTTGGAATAAATTCTAGAAAATTTAAAATTTCATGGTTCCTTCCTTTTGAAAACCCAACGACCATGTCATTGTGATATTGCAACAAAGTATTTTATAAACTAAACTGTTCACACACAACTCAGTATTATCAGAGAAACTTTATCATTCTAAACCTAAATTATCAGAATGGAATATTATTATTCTCCATTCACCATTTATATCCTTATGTAAATACTCCAATGGCCAATGACTATGATGCAACTAATGGCTCTTTGTTAGAATTTTTTTGATACAGGTGATGCCATTCTGTAAAAGGAAGGGTCAACAATGCATAGAACAGGACTGATCTTACAATTTAAAAAAATTAAGGATTACAAGATTACAGTTCCAAATTAAATCAGAACTGCAAATTCCTGTAGATTATAGTCTTAAAGCTGCAAGAAACACTGATTAAAAAAAATTATTAAACAGCAAAATACTAAACAAGATTAGCATATAATAGATTAAGGTTATTTTTTAGCACCAAAATTAGCTGTGATATCTCTATGAAAAGAAGAAAAATGCACAATCTTTGATGATACTGATGGCAGGAAATGTAACCAAAGGAACAATGAAGTTTCTGTCTCTTATCTACTGATTGCTTTACGAGGAGAAGGAAGAGGAAGAAGAGGAGGAGGAAGAAGAGGAGGAAAAAGAGGAGGAGGAAGAAGAAGAGGAAAAAGAGGAGGAGGAAGAAGAAGAGGAGGAAAAAGAGGAGGAAAAAGAGGAGGAAGAAGAAGAGGAAAAAGAGGAAGAAGAAGAGGAAAAAGAGGAGGAGGAAGAAGAAGAGGAAAAAGAGGAGGAGGAGGAAGAAGAGGAAAAAGAGGAGGAGGAAGAAGAGGAAAAAGAGGAGGAGGAAGAAGAGGAAAAAGAGGAGGAGGAGGAAGAAGAGGAAAAAGAGGAGGAAGAAGAGGAAAAAGAGGAGGAGGGAGAAGAAGAGGAAAAAGAAGAAGAGGAAGAAGAAGAGGAAAAAGAGGAGGAGGGAGAAGAAGAGGAAAAAGAAGAGGAAAAAGAAGAGGAGGAAGAAGAAGAGGAAAAAGAGGAGGAGGAAGAAGAGGAAAAAGAGGAGGAGGAAGAAGAGGAAAAAGAGGAGGAGGAGGAGGAGGAGGAATAAGATGAATAAGAGGAAGAGGAGGAGGAGGAATAAGATGAATAAGAGGAAGAGGAGGAGGAGGAATAAGAGGAAGAAGAAGAGGAAGAAGAAGAAGAGGAGGAGGAAGAAGAAGAGGAAGAGGAAGAAGAGGAGGAAGAGGAAGAAGAGGAGGAAGAGGAAGAGAAAGAAGAAGAGGAAAAAGAGGAGGAAGAGGAAGAAGAATAATGATAATAATAATGATGATGATGATGATGATGATAATAATAATAATGATAATAATAATGAAAATGAGTGAAGAGGATGAAGAGAGGAGAGGAGAGGAGTAAGTGAGGATAGGAAAGGAGGATGATAGGGGAGGAGAGGAAATGATGAAGAAAGGAGAGGAGAGGATGAGGAGAGGAGCATACGAAGAGAGGAGAGGAGAGGATGAACAGAGAAAAAGATTGGAGACGGGAGAGGAGAGGAGAGGATGAATAGAGGAGAGGATAGGAGAGGAGAAGAGAAGAAAAGAAGGAGAGGAGAGAAGAGAGAGGAGAGGAAAAGAGAGGATGAAGAGAGGATAGGAGAGCAAAAGAGAGGATGAAGAGAGGAGAGAAGAGAAGGAGAGAGGAAAGGATGAGGAAAGAAGAGAAGGGGTGAGGAGAGGAAAGGATGAAGAAAAAAGAGGAGAGGATGAGGAGAGAAGAGGAAAGGATGAAGAGATGAGAGAAGAGGATGAGGAGAGGAAGAGAAGAAAGAGAAAGAGGAGGAGGAGGAGGAGGAGGAGGAGGAGGAGAAGAAGAAGAAGAAGAAGGAGAAGGAGAAGGAGAAGGAGAAGGAGAAGGAGAAGGAGAAGGAGAAGGAGAAGGAGAAGGAGAAGGAGAAGGAGAAGGAGAAGGAGAAGGAGAAGGAGAAGGAGAAGGAGAAGGAGAAGGAGAAGGAGAAGGAGAAGGAGAAGGAGAAGGAGAAGGAGAAGGAGAAGGAGAAGGAGAAGGAGAAGGAGAAGGAGAAGGAGAAGGAGAAGGAGAAGGAGAAGGAGAAGGAGAAGGAGAAGGAGAAGGAGAAGGAGAAGGAGAAGGAGAAGGAGAAGGAGAAGGAGAAGGAGAAGGAGAAGGAGAAGGAGAAGGAGAAGGAGAAGGAGAAGGAGAAGGAGAAGGAGAAGGAGAAGGAGAAGGAGAAGGAGAAGGAGAAGGAGAAGGAGAAGGAGAAGGAGAAGGAGAAGAAGGAGAAGGAGAAGAAGGAGGAGAAGGAGAAGGAGACGGACAAAGACAAAGAATAACAATGGAGACAAATAAGAGGAAAAAAAATACTGACACTCTTTTATTTCCTTCAGTGTTCCTTTTTTTTTTTGCAAATCAGACTATAACTAAATATGTATGTACCTGTTACATTTATGAAATGCTACTGATAATAAAAAGAGAGGCAAAAGATTTACCAATTATTATTATCCATCTTTTTATTTTTATAAACTTGACTGTCACAATTAATCACTTACTTCAGTATTATAAATGCTAGTGCACAACAGACACACAAATGGAAGACGAAACAATATATTTAGACTCCAATCATGTCCATCAACTGTAACATCAATGCGATTCCCAAATATGATTGCCTCTCCTCTTATACAATAATATTTATATTGAGCATTTTCACTCAATCTTCACAATGTAATTCAACTTCTTAAAATTCTTACTACTAATTAATTTGTTGCAGTAAGCTTTACTTCTTAAACGACAGCTACTAAACTGTGCTGAAAAGCTTACACCTGGTTGAAGACAGTTATGAATACAGGTAAACCACTGATTTTCCAGCAAATGATGGTCTTGTACTTATTTTAAGCTGTACTACAAGCAGGCATTTAAATCTCCCATGACTGCTGGACAAGGCTATCTTTCATTCAGTGGATTCTATCAGCTAAATCCCAAAAGCAAAATAACTCCTCATGAAGAATATCCCTGGAATGAGGAATGAACATGGAAATTTTGTGAGAGAGAAAATCTCTGGTCCTGGATAATTGGTGTACCTGTACCAATGTCTTCAAGGGTGGTTGTAGAACTGAAGAGCATACCCTGTTTTTATATTTCTAAATTATACATACAATATGTAATTACCAAACAAAAATGTTCCACAAATACTTTTTCCTTTTTGATTTCTTCTTTCTCAAACTTCCATAATAATTACAACTGGTCTGGAGATTTAGACTACAGACTAAAGGTATTATATGCAAACAAAAGGATCTTCTGAATGTAAAGGTATTAAATATGTTGGAATTATCAGATAAGGGACAAGTCCTTGTAGAGTATAAAAAAAAAAATACAAAAATCTATATATAAATAATCAACAATCCTGAACTAACTGTGGCTTACCTCGTGCCAAAAGTGCTCCGTGAATTGAGGCTAGACCTAAAAGTGCCAGGAGTGCCGAGGTTAGTGGACAAAGCAAACTTACAGAGGAGTTATGGGGGTTAGGTAAAGCAAGTGATGACATCAAGCAAATTCATATATGGTATGTGTTTTGGTGTGTGTATCACTGCTTACGTGCGTGCCTGTACGTGTGGATTAATGTGCTGGGCATTTTGTGAAAATATGGCTGGGCTGCCCATTGTCATATACCATGCTTGGCAAAACCATGCCAATAATTGCTCACTGGGGTCATATGTTGTGATATCTGGTTTGGTGGCAAAAGCATGCTTGATTATTCTTTACATTTCTGTCCTCTTACTACTCAGGTTCAAAGGCATGCTAAATCTTATATCTTACAAGTTATACAATGGTAAAAAAAAAAAAAAAAAAATGTTCTCCTAACTCCCCTAACAGACTGTGTAGGTATGTTACAAAAGCAATGTGTGGAAACACACAGAAGAATACAAACTGAACCTATTTCCCATTGTATAAATCTCCCTCAATCCATTCTTTATAATTAATTTATTTACCGCACTAAGATAGTTCTGTTAATTTTTCTCTAAAGTTATCCAAATCTCTTTAAACTTCTATGTGAGTCAAGCAAAATCCTAAACTTCCTTACAAGATTATGATTTCCTAAATATTCATCTTGTGTGAATAGATGAAAAAATAAATAAATAAATAAATAAATAATAATACAAAAGTCCCTCATTGTGCAATGTAAACTCAATGTCTAATGAATCGCAGAAGAGTATTTGAAGTTCTGAGTGCTTTATATATCTTTATATATCTATCTATTCACACAATACTAGAACTTTCTATAATAGTACAACAATTACATGAGAACTGCAAAGCAACAGAAAAGGCCTGAGAGAGCAAGAAGAGCCTTTTAATAATCATCACAAAGAAACAACAATAACATCAATAAATTATATATCAGAGAGTGAGTCAAGATACTATTATCAAAATAATAAAACAAACAGAACATACAGAATATCACCTCACTATTTCTCTCACATTTAAGAGGAAGTGAAACCTAAGCCAAACGTGCCTGTCAACAAACAGTAAAATCTGACATCAAAAGCGGTATCACTTCCTTATTGTATATACTCATAGGATTCCTTAGAATTACAACTCATTCAGGTGTGTATCATTCCGAATATTGTAATTACTCTAGTAGCTATCATTCAGCAAAGCAAAATTCACCTGTCTGGCATTTCTACTTTTTAAAATCAAAAGTGAATAACTTGTGCAAGAAATATGCACATTTGGTTGGTTAAAAG